ACATTTGAATGTGTGTTTTCTTACTTCCCGGCCGTATTTACACTTGGGGAGACAGATTTCACAGTGGCAAAGAGATATCGAGGGACCAAATTGTTATTTATTAACACCCTTTTAGTCAAAACCAGCTCAGCAAAAAATGTTTTTGCATGTTGCTTTAAATGCTAATGAGCTCTGCTGACCCTGCCCCTCTCTTCTGTGGGGTGAGGAACAGTGCTCTGAGAGACTGTTTACTTTAGCCTCATTTAGCCATGAAATGCTCCGGTTACTAACATAACCTTGGTTCCCTGAGGTAAGGGAAAGAGTGTTGTGTATGGGGGAAAACTCCTGTGAGCTACTTCCTCCTCCTGCTTGTTGATAGTCAGCAACGAGGTGATCCTCGTTGCGGAAGGAGCATGATCTGAAGAAATGGCACTGCGAGCCGAGTTATATACACGTTTCCGTCCTTTCTGGCGGGCTAAAGCTCCATTGGTTTGTGCAGCTACACAAACGTGAACAAATCAGACTTCAGTATGGAGTAAAACAGGAGTTTTACCCGTACACAACGTGAAGTGAGCGTTCGAAAGGGAACTTGCTGACTAGCACGCTATTAGGAACCGCGATTGCAAAGACTCATTTAAAAAAAAAAAAAAAAAAAAAAACCTTATACTCCTTCTGCTGTAAGTGAAGCTGGATAATGAATGATTCTCGCGAACATAGATGCATTTATTCCCTTCACAAACAAAAGTAATCTATGCCATGGTGACGCAATTGGCCTTGGAATGCAGTCTTCGGAGGGTGCATCCTGAATTGGGACAGCTTACGGTCGTGACACTGTGATGAAACATTTGTGCCCGTGAGATCCACATAAATAGGCCGGCGTGTGACTGTGGCATTGTGTCCCTGACGAATTAGTAATTGAAAGTAAGGGTTGCCCAGAAAGATCAAATATCCAAATTGTTAATGCACAACTAATCTTATGATCCACTATAAATGTAAATATATTTTATTCTAAAATATGGATTTAGAATAAATTACCAATGGAGTCAGATTTTAAATTTGAAGACTAAATTAATAAATTAAGTGATTTTACAGAAGCAGCAGACAAGACACTTGCAGAATCTTTTACCCCACGCCATTGGATTCTGTCGTTGGACCAGTGGGTGGTCCTTACAGTGGTCTGGCTGGCTAATATAAAGACATGTTCTCATTGTATGTATATTGAAAGGGACAGTTCCCCCCAAAAAAATATTAATGTCATTCCAAACATGTATGACTTTCTTCTGTGGAAACACGAGAAGATAATGAGAAATGTCTCAGTGACTCTGATTGGTTTCCAACATTCTTCAAAATATGTTTTATGTTCCACAGACAAAAGAAAATACAGGTTTGAAACGATATGAGGGTAAATAAATGAATATTTTTTTTTTTTTGGTGAACTTTCCTGTTAAGGCATTTAGCGCTTTTATCTCAGCAACTTCAAAAAGTTTTGAAAGCAAAATTAAAGTATACCATGTTTATGACATCAATCTATAAGCAGCAGAGATTGCCTCATAAAATCTCTTTAAAATATCTCTATCAAAGTAAGAGATTTGGAAAGCACTTCATTATTTTTGTTTAGTACAGGACACCCAGAAAAAGTAAAGCATTCTAAAATGTATTGCATATGAAAGAGGAAAAATTCAGCTCTCAACAATTTGGTCTGAGAATTATTATATCATTCTAAGGTTTAGCAAAACGGATAAAGGCAATCAAGAGTATATGAGGAAATGTTTACATATTTTAAAAAGATAACAGAAAGAATATAGAAGTATTTCGTTTTTTCTCCCCTTTCATTTCTTTATCCCCTTATTAAACTATGTGCGCTCCGAACTCCCGACCAGTAGGTGGCACAAATGCACCTTTTACACTGGTTTCCAAGACCAGCAAAAACACCATAAAAGGAAAGAAAAGAAGAGGCGCAATCCGAACAGCGGTTTCTAAATAACAGTTTTGCAAAGTTTTTGAAGAATCACGAATCATGTTTTTTTTAAATCACTATTTACAAGTGCAAGACATGAATTCAGACCATGTGGAAGAACATAAATTGATAAAGATAGAGTAGCCTATATTGAAGATTACAGTGATATCAAAAGTGATCCAGAACTCTTCAGAGTGAAGCATGAAGATACAGAACAAAAAAGGTTGGTGTTTATTTTTGATTTTTCTTTAACAATGCTGTAAAATCAATTTATCAATTTAATCTAGCTTGTGTTCACTGTTGTAAATGGAAGCAGCTCGGGGCGGATGACGTAGGACGTCGGCGTTGCTCAAAAACATGCACATTAAAAAAAAGGTACATTTTCAGTTGTTTATATCACATGTCCTTAGAATGATAATTTCTATAATTTTTCCACAAAATTCTACAATCTGGAGCTTTGAGCGCAGAGATTCATTGACCGATAAAATATGTGACCAAATAAATATGATATATGATTTGATGCAGTGTCTTGAATTTAATGTTTACCATGGTAATGCTAGCCTTTTGCATCGCATATAAATAATATAATTCTGTAATCAGAATCCACATCAGATCAAACTGAATTTTATGTTATTTCAACCACTTTCTGCTCTCTGAAAGTAAATTTTCAGCTAAAAGGATTTTAAATGTCTAATGCTGATGTAGCTGGTACATTTACGTTGAGCCTGTGAGCGACTCACAGATTTTACTCCAGTTTTGACATGTTTTTCTTCTGCTTCACTCAGTTCTTCACTCTCCTCCTCCTCTTCCATCAGGTCTAAAATGAAAGCAAAAAAGGTGAAGTTTTCAGTAAATCATTAAAAAACTTCAAAGCCAGAAATGTGAAGGGAAAGGACATAAAAATGAATAGCAGAAAGAATACCGTTGCTACACTAAAATATGATCTTTATGATATTTTTTATAAATAAATTATATGTTCATGAATTGTGTACATCAATCTTCCAATTGTTATTTTCTGTAGTAGTGAGAGCTAGGGATGCACCGAAATGAAAAGTCTTGGCCGAAGCCGAAACCAAACAAAATGAAACACAGGGCCGAAAGCTGAATAAATTTTAATAAATAAAATTTTATTTTAACATTTATAAATTGCATAAATAAAATTTTTACTATTTTGTCTTGCTTTTCAAAGAAAAAAATCAATTACAAAACAGTAATTTAAAAATATTTAACACTGAACATGTTTTAACATTCTAACAGACATTATTCCAACAAAGCACAATTTAACATAAAATTAATAAGTTAGTAAAATAATATTTTTTGGCCATCAGACCCCCTTCTTGAATAAGGCATGTATTTTTTAAATGAAAGCAGCCTTGCTGAGCAGAAGAAACTTTTTAAAACATTAGAAAATACTAAAGATCACAATTTGAACACTATGTGTGAATGTTAATAAATATATTAATAGAGCTGTTGTAATTATTATTATTGTCTTATTTTTTTTATTTTATTTTACAGAACAACAGTAAAATTACAATACTATAATTTATGACGGATGATTGAGTTCTTGCTTTTTCTCAACTTTTATTTTGGCGGAAACGCGCAGGAAGACCTCAGTGCTTCTTTTTGTTGACAGCAACAGCCGCACTGGTCACACGTGTATGGTTTCTCTCCAGTGTGGATTATCACGTGTCTCTTAAGGTGTCCCTTTTGTGTAAAACTCTTCCCGCATTGATCACATGTGTACGGCTTCTCTTCACTATGATCTCTCATGTGAACTTTAAGACTTTGCTTGTGTGGGAAACTCTTACCACACTCAGGGCAAGTGAAATTTTTGAGGGGATTTCTTTTCAGTACACATTTACGTTGAGCCTGTGAGCGACAGATTTTACTCCAGTTTTGACATGTTTTTCTTCTGCTTCACTCAGTTCTTCACTCTCCTCCTCCTCTTCCATCAGGTCTAAAATGAAAGCAAAAAAGGTGAAGTTTTCAGTAAATCATTAAAAAACTTCAAAGCCAGAAATGTGAAGGGAAAGGACATAAAAATGAATAGCAGAAAGAATACCGTTGCTACACTAAAATATGATCTTTATGATATTTTTTATAAACAAGTTATATGTTCATGAATTGTGTACATCAATCTTCCAATTGTTATTTTCTGTAGTAGTGAGAGCTAGGGATGCACCGAAATGAACATTCTTGGCCAAAGCCGAAACCGAACAAAATGAAACACAGGGCCGAAAGCCGAAGGCTGAATAAATTTTAATAAATACAATTTTATTTTAACATTTATAAATTGCATAAATAAAATTTTTACTATTTTGTCTTGCTTTTCAAAGAAAAAAATCAATTACAAAACAGTAATTTAAAAATATTTAACACTGAACATGTTTTAACATTCTAGCAGACATTATTCCAACAAAGCACAATTTAACATAAAATTAATAAGTTAGTAAAATAATATTTTTTGGCCATCAGACCCCCTTCTTGAATAAGGCATGCATTTTTTAAATGAAAGCAGCCTTGCTGAGCAGAAGAAACTTCTTTTAAAACATTAGAAAATATTAAAGATCACAATTTGAACACTATGTGTGAATGTTAATAAATATATTAATAGAGCTGTTGTAATTATTTTTATTGTCTTATTTTTTTTTATTTTATTTTACAGAACAACAGTAAAATTACAATACTATAATTTATGACGGTTGATTGAGTTCTTGCTTTTTCTCAACTTTTATTTTGGCGGAAACGCGCAGCAAGACCTCAGTGCTTCTTTTTGTTGACAGCAACAGCAGATTTATAAATGAGTCATTACGAATGTGTCGCACGTATTGCATTGTCACATGCCTTGTAAAAAATTCATAAAAATGTGTGAGCAACTGACAGGTAACACTGTTTCAGCGCAGATATTCCTCGCGCTTTGGACTTTGAACAGGGTTCCCACTCTTTCATGAACCCCAGATTCAAGGACTTTTTCAAGCACCATTTATTTTATATCACACCCCAGCATATGTAGTGTCATGAAAGACCTTACAGTACTTAACATTTCACTTACACTTAACATTTACATGAAACATTTCAGAGTAATAATGTTTTGAATGTGTAGATTTCATAAATTTAGACTGTTTTGAGCAGTCGTGTTCAAAGGAATTTAATGAAATCCATTGAAGTCAGTACTGGTAATATTCTAATTAAATTTAGAAAATATTGATAAAATATGCATCAAACTGATTTTTGCTGTAGTTCTTTTACAAGATTTAAATTTGAAAGAATCTCAATTTTTAAATTAATAAAAAGTGGTTAAATGTTGTAATAACACGATAAAAGCTGATAACATTACACATTTGCACATTCACTCAGAAGATACGTTACTAATTAACAAATAAACTTTATTGTAAATCCCATTTTTTCATCTTTGACCAAGAGGAATGCAGCTGCTCAAACATGCAGCTGCTCAAACACTGACTCACTAGATTCGTTCAAAAAACGCACTTTCATTCATGAATGAAACTCGACTGTGTTTGCTTTTAGAGATGCGCAGCGGCTCAGCTGTTACAATATTTGGAACTATTTTCGTTGATGCAATATACAATAAGACAATAATAATGTTTGCGGAAGCGTGACACACACGTTGCAGGAGTGGGCGGTAATGCGCAGAAATTCAGGGGGAGAGGGCTTAAGAAAACTGTCCCGCTCAGGTCTCTAGGCTGCGTGTTTTTTCGCGCTCCCCCATCACCACCCCCAATCATTAGTGCCGCTTGTTCGGTCTTTGACAGAACATATAGGACAATTTTTTAAATAGCACCATAAACTAAATTTAGGATGGGTGGAAAATGTATTTACACGTGTTCAAAATTTTAATAACACTGTTGCGAAATTTCTGATATATATATATATATATATATGTGTGTGGTTGTACATGTTTTTTTGGTGTTTGGCTTAGTGTTATGTTATGTTAGAATCATTATTATACTCTTATACCTTTTGTTCTTTAATATTTTGAATTGTTTTTAGCTTTATTTTTAGTTTTTCCATTTAAATGTTAAGTTTTGAAATTTTGTTGTATGCATTTGTCATTTTTATTTAATCTCTTTATTTTTTAAATGTGTATAGGTAGTATTAATAAAGTTTTAGCTTTTAGTTTTGGATCTGTTTTTAGTTGTTTTAATACTACAATTGATTGCTTATTTTTTGGATAAAAGCGTCTGATAAATGACTAAATAAATAAATAAATAAAATTCATACCCATTTCATGGAAAGTGGTCAGTATATTATTTGCTACTGCTGTTGTTTTACAGCTCGTAGGACCGTAGGACACCAATAAATCTGATAAGATTCTTTAAGTTTTATTACCTTAATGTTCTTCAGCATTATAAATGAATAATAAAGAATAAACACCAACCTCCATGTTCTTCAGTATCTTCAGGTTTCATTTTGTAGGGTTCTGGATCACTCCGGTCACTGAAAACTCTTCTTCACTGATGGGAATATTCCAACTTTTATTGGTGAATTGCTGTGGGAGGAGCTTCACTGAAGGTACAGTACTTGTGGAAGGAGGTGCAGATCTGCAGAAATCAAAAAATAAATCCGAAGTTTTGACTCATTCACACATTTGAAGCATTTATGTACTATGTGTATATATCCATTTATCAAAATGTAAAGTCACTGATTTTTTTTTTTTATATTCTGTGTATTTCTGTTTTGTCTGTGATTTTTGTTTTTACATTCTTTATCTTTAATACAGACATATAGATAAATTAATATTAGAAAAAATTATGAATAAGTACCACAATTAAAATAATCCAAATTAAAAAAGAAAAAAGTAAGAATAACAAAAGAAAAAAAAATCTGAAATAAATGTAGATTTGTAACCAACATATAACACTTCAGTTCAATGAAACCTGAAACTTGCTTTATCACAAACTATAATGAAATGCTCTTAAGAGATTTATGGTGGTGGTGTGGCTGTTTACACCAATGCATGCGCTTTAAGTAGCAGTTTACAGGTGATTTAAACATATCAGCATAACCAATGAGGTGAAAACATGAACTATTGACATGATAAAAAGGCCTTTCAATAACTAGTGAGACACCTGAAACAAACCGTACAGCATCATCAGCAGAGATCTGACTTTATTCTAAGTGTTTGTTGTAGAAACAGATTATTCGAGTCATATATGCTGAAAGACTATAAAACTGGCCTATAACAATGTTATTTCTCACAGTCTGAGATAAATAAAACATCATCAAAATAAATGCATATGGCACCCATCCTTGCAGGAGTTTTTTCTGCTTTCTGTTTGGGAGACCATTTTATTAACCGCTACAAATGTGCAGAAGCATAATATATCCACCGAAATTTTCCAATGACTACATCTATAACAATAAAGGAATTAGATCATTAACTTGTTGCTATCTTTTATGTGCAGAAACCGACCATGATCACGTTATTTTAACACTTTTGATTTCAAAATTAACTTTGATTTAAATTCACATTAATGTACAGTAGGCCTACCTCTTGTGCAGTACTTCTTGTGACAGGAAAGTCCCATGTGGCTCATCATATTGTAACGAAGTGAATGGATGTGGGCCCCTTCGGAGGGCCCTTTTTTCCCCCGAAGGTATGTTCAGTTGTTGAACTTGTTTACTAAAGATTCGCAAAGTTTTCGAAGCTTCACGAAGCAAGTTTAGAAAGCGTAAGTCAAGACATACAATTCAAGACATACACATATCGTACTCCGCTACATTTATCAAGGTCCCCAAGTAGAAAATTGTTGTATATGTGGCAGCTTTTCCAGCGTGTGCATTTTCTTCTTCTTCTTCTTCTTCCGTTTTTTGGCGTGTTACATCCTGTGTGCATATCGCCACCTACTTTTGCAATTTAGGATGGGTGGAAAATGTATTTACACATGTTCAAAATTTTAATAACACTGTTGCGAAATTTCTGATATATATATATATATATATATGTGTGTGGTTGTACATGTTTTTTTGGTGTTTGGCTTAGTGTTATGTTATGTTAGAATCATTATTATACTCTTATACCTTTTGTTCTTTAATATTTTGAATTGTTTTTAGCTTTATTTTTAGTTTTTCCATTTAAATGTTAAGTTTTGAAATTTTGTTGTATGCATTTGTCATTTTTATTTAATCTCTTTATTTTTTAAATGTGTATAGGTAGTATTAATAAAGTTTTAGCTTTTAGTTTTGGATCTGTTTTTAGTTGTTTTAATACTACAATTGATTGCTTATTTTTTGGATAAAAGCGTCTGATAAATGACTAAATAAATAAAAATACTGATTTCATACCCATTTCATGGAAAGTGGTCAGTATATTATTTGCTACTGCTGTTGTTTTACAGCTCGTAGGACAAAATACAACCAATAAATCTGATAAGATTCTTTAAGTTTTATTACCTTAATGTTCTTCAGCATTATAAATGAATAATAAAGAATAAACACCAACCTCCATGTTCTTCAGTATCTTCAGGTTTCATTTTGTAGGGTTCTGGATCACTCCGGTCACTGAAAACTCTTCTTCACTGATGGGAATATTCCAACTTTTATTGGTGAATTGCTGTGGGAGGAGCTTCACTGAAGGTACAGTACTTGTGGAAGGAGGTGCAGATCTGCAGAAATCAAAAAATAAATCCGAAGTTTTGACTCATTCACACATTTGAAGCATTTATGTACTATGTGTATATATCCATTTATCAAAATGTAAAGTCACTGATTTTTTTTTTTTATATTCTGTGTATTTCTGTTTTGTCTGTGATTTTTGTTTTTACATTCTTTATCTTTAATACAGACATATAGATAAATTAATATTAGAAAAAATTATGAATAAGTACCACAATTAAAATAATCCAAATTAAAAAAGAAAAAAGTAAGAATAACAAAAGAAAAAAAAATCTGAAATAAATGTAGATTTGTAACCAACATATAACACTTCAGTTCAATGAAACCTGAAACTTGCTTTATCACAAACTATAATGAAATGCTCTTAAGAGATTTATGGTGGTGGTGTGGCTGTTTACACCAATGCATGCGCTTTAAGTAGCAGTTTACAGGTGATTTAAACATATCAGCATAACCAATGAGGTGAAAACATGAACTATTGACATGATAAAAAGGCCTTTCAATAACTAGTGAGACACCTGAAACAAACCGTACAGCATCATCAGCAGAGATCTGACTTTATTCTAAGTGTTTGTTGTAGAAACAGATTATTCGAGTCATATATGCTGAAAGACTATAAAACTGGCCTATAACAATGTTATTTCTCACAGTCTGAGATAAATAAAACATCATCAAAATAAATGCATATGGCACCCATCCTTGCAGGAGTTTTTTCTGCTTTCTGTTTGGGAGACCATTTTATTAACCGCTACAAATGTGCAGAAGCATAATATATCCACCGAAATTTTCCAATGACTACATCTATAACAATAAAGGAATTAGATCATTAACTTGTTGCTATCTTTTATGTGCAGAAACCGACCATGATCACGTTATTTTAACACTTTTGATTTCAAAATTAACTTTGATTTAAATTCACATTAATGTACAGTAGGCCTACCTCTTGTGCAGTACTTCTTGTGACAGGAAAGTCCCATGTGGCTCATCATATTGTAACGAAGTGAATGGATGTGGGCCCCTTCGGAGGGCCCTTTTTTCCCCCGAAGGTATGTTCAGTTGTTGAACTTGTTTACTAAAGATTCGCAAAGTTTTCGAAGCTTCACGAAGCAAGTTTAGAAAGCGTAAGTCAAGACATACAATTCAAGACATACACATATCGTACTCCGCTACATTTATCAAGGTCCCCAAGTAGAAAATTGTTGTATATGTGGCAGCTTTTCCAGCGTGTGCATTTTCTTCTTCTTCTTCTTCTTCCGTTTTTTGGCGTGTTACATCCTG